GTCACTCTCCAAACAGACTGCATGGATACACCATCGCAGACACCGCCTCCGCCTCAGCACACTGGACAGCACGCTAAACGCGGCCACCCTGTCGCTGCCCAGGCACTGACTGCGGCACGGCCCTTCAGGCTGCAGCAACGATTCTGGGGAGAGGTGTCTTTATTTGACACGTGAAGGGCATTCATTCCAACAGGTGCCAAAGTACAAATGAAGGCTGCCTTAATATTTTTAAGGACTAAATTCCTGAGCGGATCTGACTGAGGAGAAACCAAAGATAATTGATGGTTTTGAATAAACCAAACCAGTATATGCCAGCAAGGTCATTGAAGAGCACACAAGAAAGAAAAATATATACAAAGAAAAACACGTAGTGGTTAAAGAGCATTAATAGGGAAAAGCTAAAACAGCCTATTACCCTTCACCCCACTGAAATGATGCCAGAATTGACAAGAATGACATGGATCTATATGAACTGAAACGAAAATGCCCTATTTATGTTATTAAGGAGATGGTACAAAATATACATCACACACACAACAGAGAGAACAAGAGAAAGAATGAGGTGGGCAGGTAGAGTGGAGGTGGACTGGCGGGTGAGGCCAGGCAGAGCCGTCTATGAGTGCTGAGTGACAAAGAAACAGAGAGGTGAGAAAGTAGGGACAACACAGGGACAATGAGAGGAAATGCAGAGGATGCTGGCTGGCTGGCAGGCAGGCAGGCAGACAGACTGTCAGACAGACAGACAGGGAACGACATACACCAAGCACCACACTAGTGTGTTCCACACAGCAGCTCTTCGTCACGTGCCCATTAAACATGAACCAATTACAACTAGATCAAATAAGCAATTCAGTCCCACACTCATGGCAGTCTCAAACATGTGGAGTGCTCAGCAGGTGACTGCACGTGGCTAAGAGACACCATGTCATATAGGATGTACCAGCAGTACAGAAGGCAGCTTTAGGCAGTGCTGCTATACCTTTAATATTACGTAACGTTTTTATAACAAGCTTGTAAGGAATAAAGACATTTTCAATTTGAGCATAAAATTGCTTTGGAGTCTTCTCATTCTGTCTCTCTTGTAATTTTTTTTTTCCAATACCACATAAATACCAGAGGTTTCATAAGGCTTTAATAACCTGTGGACTGGCCAACTTTCTCTATGTTCTTTGACTCTTACGCAGGTCTGCTTAGTGAAAGTTCAAATGCCACCAAAATAAAGAAGACAACGACATGAGTTTGGAGCATTGTGACATCGCTCTTGTTCTCTGAAACCTAAAAAAGATCTTGTTACTCATTCTTTCTTTGCAGAAGCAGAGCAGTTGATAGAAACCCTGTGCAGTTCCAACAAACATTTTAAACTGATGCTTTTCTTCAAAAGAACAATGGCGTTTAAAAATAGCACTTTTTTTTCTGACTCAATTCAGTACAAAGTAGAAGGAGAAAAAAAGTAAGCCTAAAACTTAAAAAAAATCCCCATGAAGAAAATGGCAATGCTGAAAATCAGTTTTCATATGAAGATTGCAATACCAAAGCAAAGAATATCTACGATAACCAACTGTCAAGGCTTTCTGATATAGCAGAAATTTGAGGCATCTGGTGATGTTTTAGGGAGGTCACAGTTTAAAATGAGCTAACTGAAAGATCTTTGGGGAAAAAAGTACACACAAGTTTACAGGCAACATATAATAGTGTCTTAAGACTTAGCTCCCTTTGAAAATGGGACTAATTTGCAGCCCAAGATCACAGCCTCAGTCCTGACTGCTATACAAAGCCTTCACCAGGAAAAAGCAATTTTCCTAGTGTAACCACTCACTGTTTCCACTCAAGTATCCACAATATCCACTCAAGGCCCTCGCTACAGGCCAAGTGCAGTGTAGAGATGTAAAAAGCCATGGTAATTAAAGACAGCGTGGAAGTGGCCAAGGGTATATCTACAGCCCAGTGGAACGGACCCCGTGCATGTTGAGCAATGACACGGTAGCATCACAAATCAGTGGGGGAAAGACAAACCATGAAATAAGTGATGCTGGCTTATGCAATTAGCTCATTTGCATGGAGTATTATTCTCCATCTCATACCACACAGAAAAATTAATTCCATGTGGATTAGATTTACACAGGAAAAATCTTTGAATGAGGACTTATTATGATCTGTGTGACCCTAAATTACTTAAGGAATATGGAGGCATCAAGTATGATGCAAAAACACCCACCCTAAGTAAACAGATGGGTAAGTATGTCTTGACTGAAATATAAAAATGCTACACAGTGCAGCATAACACAAAAATGAAAGATAAGCCATTGCAGAGAACACATCTGAAGTATGTGAAATATATCAGAAATGTAAAATATCCATAGGAGATTAATCTTGAATGTATAAAGATCTAAAAATACATGGGAAAAAACATACAGATGAAGAACAGGACACAAAAGAAGAAACTGTAACAATCAAACCTAAGAAATGATGTATTTCAAAAGTCTGACTATACCAAGGCTTGGCAACAATGTGAAGCAACAGGAACTCCAGATAGTGCTGTTAGGGGCTGAAATTTCAAAGGCTACTGTGGAAAAGGATCTGGTAACATCAAGTTAGGGTGAGGACACATATATCTTAGGCATCAGTAAGTAATTCCACCTCTAGGTACAAACTGTGGAAGGCCAGGAGCATGGCTCATTGGTAGAGCTCTTGTTTAGCATGCACAAGGCCCTGAGTTCAATCCCTAGCACTGTGGATAAAAATAATAGCAACAATAATAGCAATTTAAAAATAAACTCTAGAGAAGCTGTCAAAAAACATTTTCATAAGAAAACAGGCACCATAGTGTCCACGGTAATGTTGTCTAACAGCAAAGCACAGACTCAAAACTTTCACTGACAGAAGAATGTAACCTTAGGGGCTGGGAAGGTGGCTCAATGGTAGAGTGCTTGCCTTGCATGCATGAAGCCCTGGGTTCGATTCCTCAGCACCACATAAGCAAAAAGAAAAAAGCCGGAAGTGGCACTGTGGCTCAAGTGGTAGAGTGCTAGCCTTGAGCTGAAGAGCTAAGGGACAGTGCCCAGGCCCAGAGTTCAGGCCCCATGACCGACCAAAAAAAAAAAGAATGTAACCTTAGGACACTATACAGCAAAAATGAAGGAATTTCTGCTCCACTTCCACATGGATATATCTCATACATAGTATTAATTTTTTTTAAAGTGACAGAAATACACATACAGTTTGATATCTTACTGTAAGAAGTTCAAGATCCGTAACTTAAATATACTGCTCCTAAGTACATCTAGACGAGTGCACATAATCATGGCTGGGCACTTTAGGCCCATGATTCTTCTGCAGATTGAAGATGCAAGAGCAGCAGCCGGAGCAGCCCACAGGGTTATCAGCAGTGCTGCAAACCACTGTGGTCATGGCTGTGCTGGTGATGAGGAGGCAACAACCCCGACTGCCACTCACTCCTTTCATTCAGAAAGTATTTAAAGAGCCAGATCGTAGGTGATGAAAATGCAGCAATTAGCACAACCAGCAAGAGGTCTCTAGGAGGTTGTGGACCTTACAGGCCCGCTAGGCATGGGTTATTTAACTGCAGCAAGGGGTGTAAGCCATGATGAGAAAGCATGATGATCACAGCCCCAGTGGCAGAGAGTCCAACACAGTAAGAAGGGAAGAGTCTACAAGTCCTTCCTGTGGTGAAAACAAACTATGATCCAAAGTACAATTAGAGCTTCTCGGTCCAAGGGGACTAGAAGGAGGACGTAAACTGATGCCAACCAGAGACAGGAAAGAGTGGTGAAAAGCTGAGGGTGGGAGACAAACCGAAGCACTAAGCCAACACAAGCACCAAGCATCAAGCCCTGCACACCAAAGCCATAGCACAATTGTGGGGAGGAAACTGATTCAAAGTCCATTTGAAGCTGGACTCCTTCTGATGGTCTGGAAGGTACCTCACACCTAAAATCTAAATAGGAATGTAGGAAGTGGCATCCTAAATGCTTAATCATGTTATGTTTGTTTGGGCTAAGGGACAACTATCCTGAAGTGCACTTCATATGGGTCAAATGAACAAGTTATACACTGAACATTGTAAGGCTCACAGTGAGTCTGAAAAAGTTAGGTCATCAACCATATGCTGCCAACTTTGTAAAGTGCTATGGCCTGGTAGGGCTCTTTAAAATAATAAATTTACCAGAAACCCAATTTGAGATATTCAGATGTCAACTGGAAAGACTTTGGCAATATTAAAGTTTCCAACCACAAACTTATCAGTATAAATCATACTTTGTACTTTGAATTTGTGACAGTTTAAGAAAGCAATCGCGAGTACTCTATCCCAAGGAACTAACAACCAGTACCATCTATTTTTATTGACAGACTCTTGGCATCCCAAGCCAGAGCAGCAGACTTTAAAAAATTGACATTAGCTTATTTTACTTTTGCATGTGTTATATTTCTTATCCTAAAAAAAAAACAACTCAAGACACTTACTAAGCCAAAGATCTCACACTAGCCTAAAACTGCCAAAGTGAATGAGAAAGGAACAGGCCTGGCTAAAGAGAGTGAAGTGCTCCGTAAAGCCAGGCCCTTCCTTGATTAGCTGGTGTTCTACTGACACCCACCCGCATCCTCCTCAGTTACTCAGTGATGCTGGGCCTGGCTGGCAGGTTTTTCTCTGTAATCTGCCATCAAGCTAGGGAAGTGGGAATTACTTCTAATTACCCAGTGTTGCAGAAGTTCAACTTCCTCAACAACAGGAGCCCTCCGGTTCTCCCCACCTCAGCCTCCCAGAGGCAACAGCTGCAGACACCGCCTACTTTCTGGTAGATCTTGAATCTGAAGCCCTGAGTGTGAACACATCCTTTCTGTGTGCCTCTCACTCTGTTCTCCAATCTTTCCTTTCCTTCCTTTGCTTTCCTTCCCCCCGCCTTGGTTGTGCGTTCATTCCACATTCAAGTAGCATTTAGAAACATCTGCAACTTGCCAAGTTATGTTCTAGGTGTATGGAGAAATACTGTTATTAAAAATAAAGAATAAACAACTCAGACAAAAACTATTGTTCTGGACTCTGGCAATAAATAAATATGGAATTAAAGATACCAATATTAGTGTATGATTACTCCAAGTGCCAAGCAGAGCACCTGGCAAACGGATGACAATTCAGACAGGCCCCGGCGCCTCCCCACATCCTCAGCTCTGAGTCTCCTTCCTACCATCCCATCACCTCCTCTTCTCACTAGCTGTTCTCCACAGCCCTCCATCCTCCTCCCACTACTCACTCCGTGATCAGCCCCCAAATAAGCACACCCTTCATCACCCCAACTTCATAGCCCTTCCCTCTGGACTCACCCTAGCCCCCTTGTCGAATTCTTCGTGCAGCCACACTCTCCGTACATCTGAAGCCATCTCACACCCTCTGGGGTCTCAGGCCACAGACCCTGCCACCTTTACTTTACCTCCTGCCAGAAGCCGTCTCTCCTGACTCTTGGCCACTTGGTTAAACTCCACGGCTTTTCTCTGTATCTGCTGGCAGCAGCTCAGTGCTGTTTATTTATTTTTTTGGTCAGTCGCGGGGCTTGAACTCTGGGCCTGGGCGCTGTCCCTCAGCTCTTCAGCTCAAGGCTAGAGCTCTTACCGCTTGAGCTACAGTGCCACTTCCAGTTTTCTGGTGGTTTACTGGAGATAAGAGTTCCATGGACTTTCCTGCACAGGCTGGCTTTGAACTGTGATCCTCAGATCTCAGCCTCCTGAGTAGCTAGGTTTATAGGCGTGAGCCACCAATGCCCGGCCTCAGTGCTGTTTAAACCACACTAACTAACCTGCTCCACATGTGCCCTGGACAGGAAACAACTGAAGAGGCAGGAGGACATGAGTCAGAAGGGCCATGCCTTTGAGAAGGGAAAAGCAGCAGCCAGAGAATTAAGTGTCTTGCACTGGAGCCCACAAAGCTCTCCACCTAGGCTGCATCCACCTGTCTTTCCCTCCTCAGACAACCCCACCTGTCTCTCCTCCACCCATCCCCTATCTGCAGGCTGGATGGGCAGCCACACACGTAGGCACACAGAAGAAGCTTGCTCGTTCCCTTCTGGTGGCTCCAAGTGTGGAGGCAGGGTAGTGGAGGGGGACTGAGAAGCAGGAGGAAGTTAGAGTGCTAGAATAGGTGGAAGCTCTGGAGCTAGCCAGCCCTCCCCCACTCTCATCGCCTTGTTAGCCCAGGAAGAATCTGGTGAAGGAATGGCATATGTCCACTCCAGCAACACCAGTGCCCAACTTCACATGCCCCGTCCAGATCCCAACAGACAGTACCGTGGAACAAACCCAGAAAACTACAATGGGTTCATCCCCAGTCTGTGTCATCTCTTTCAGCGGGATTCAACAAATCTTTTATTCACTTCTGCTTGGGAGGTACCTCAGTGACGGACACCCCTCACCATTCTGAGCAGATGAACTTTGCTTCGATTCTATTCTACTGAGATCAGTGGGCTTCTTAAAACTTCTGACTCAAGGGGCTGGGAAAGTGGCTCAGTGGTAGAGCACTTGCCTTGCATGCTCGAGGCCCTGGGTTCAATTCCTCAGCACCATATAAGCAAAAAGCCAGAAGTGGCGCCAGAAGTGGCGCTGTGGCTCAAGTGGTAGAGCGCTAGCCTTGAGCTGAAGAGCTGAGGGACAGCGCCCAGGCCCAGAGTTCCGGCCCCACAACCGGACCCAAAAAAAAAAAACAAACTTCTGACTCAAAAATTGGGCACACTTACATCTACCTTCTAGCAGGTCTCGGGAAATTCTTTCCTTCCCTAAGGCAAACCCATTCTTCTCGACTATCCCCCGCCCCACCTGTGAGGCTACACCCAGTTATCCTACTGTTGCCTCTCCATTTAATTTACAGGTACTGAGGAGAATAAAAGGTATGAGTAAGTTACCAAAGTGGGGGAAACATGGCATGTATGTAAAGGCAGTGATGAGACTGGCCCTGTGACGCGGTGGGGTGTGTGAAGGCCATGGTCACTAAGCCAGATGATAGACAGGAGCTTAAAAAAAAACAGCGTGGGATGAGGATTCTTGGATGAGAAAACTGCTTGTGATGAAGGCATGGCATAAGTGAAGTGGGATAGGATGGGATGGGCAGGGGACAGCCTCATGCTTTGTAGATAAGGCAATCTCCCTGACAAATATGAGCGCCTGGATGCTCACAAGTGAACCATGGAGAAGGAAGAAAGGGAGGACAGTGGGCTGAACCTGGTGACAAGACGTGCTATGAACGCACTTTGAGCCTAAATTCTGTAACGGTACAAGGCTAAAGTATGACATGGCACTGTGCAGGTGGGGTTTCTTGGTCTCAGCATTTGAGGCTGTGGAGGTCAGGGGTCCTGAGGTCGCAGGTCTCAGCAGCCCTGATGTGTGACTCAAGAAGCACAGGGCTAAAGAAGCAAAGCTGCTTTCTGAGCTCCTTCCATCGCTGCCTCCTCTGGAACCCACCAGATCCTCAGCTTCTACTCTTCTGCCAGCAAAAATGATGCCATGGACCCAGCCACCTGGCCTGGCCTCTGCACATATCCGGTCCAAGAGGGAATTCCGTTGGCCATCACAGCTTCAAAGCTGCTGGCCTAGCTCTACCCCAACCCCCCCACAGAAAAGCCTGCCGTGCCTTTAACATGGCACTGCACCGACTCTGGTACTCCTCCAGACACAACATTATCCCCAAGTGCTAGAGTGAACAAGATGCAGCCCTGCTCTAAGGATCACTCAATATGACTCTGAGATGAAAGGGCAGCGCATACTGACCCGTATTGTTTCTCCCCCTCCCCCCCCCCCCCGCACCCTCCCCCCCCATGCTGACTTAGGAACAAACCTTCACTAGGGATTCAGGAAAAGACACAGCAAGCCTGGAATGTGGCTTTGACATGCACAGCGCTGCTTCATTTCTAAGCAGGGCTTCTTCCATTTTTGCCCAGACATCACTGCTACAAAACCAAGTTCCTAGCCATTGAAAGTATTCTAGGAAAGGAGATTGGGGGGGGGGGGGGGGGGGGGAGTGCATTAAGAGGGAGAAGATTGATGGGAACACATTGTAGAAATTCCTCCCTGTGTAACCCATGAATGCTATTTTTATAAAAGGGATTTCAAGTATAGAAAAGAAGAAAATTAGAGGAGTTTCTAGATAATTTCCCAGTGAATTTAGCATCTGGAAGCTGTTTATATGAACAAGCATGATTTTTTTATACTACATAAAAATGGACATCTCAGTATCTCAACAAGGGGCTGTGCAGGCTCTAGCCCCTAGTGATACTGTAACAAATACTAAGTGACTGTCCTGGGTTACTCAAACAGCAATATCACCATAGACAGATGCTGCTGAACACTTTAATAACCCAATTATTTAGTATTATTCCATTTCTCTCTTCTTGCTAATCCAAAGAGCTAAAATTTAAAAATGAAAAAGGTACACAATTCAGATATCCAATGTGTCTCTTTAGTTTATGTTTTCTTATTTCCTCAAACTATTTGAAGCTTGATTTCCTTTTTACCACATGCTGTGAGCATCTCAAAAGCTAAACCCGGATTGTTTGCTTACAGCTTTAAGATATTCTCTGTGTGACTAAGTGGCAGGTGGTGGTCAGTTTATTTTCATGCACGTAAATGAAGCCCTTGAACTTCAGGGTGAGGAAGAGCACATGCTTCAAGTTTAGAAAGGAAGGAACTCCACAGCAGTTTCCTTTGGAACAGCCTGCTTTTCCAGCTTCCAGAATGAAAAAAAAAAAAAAAAAAAGTTATATTTGTATAGGGATTGCTAAGAAACAGTGATGAAATGATATAATTTTCAGATTACTAGAAAAGCTTACATTTTCTCCCACAAAATGAGAGACATTTATCCTTTGGCTTTAAAAGTCACAAATACTAAGCTACTGAACTTAGTAGAACAGATGACAAAGTACACATGCCAACTTTGTTGCTAAACACATCCTCTGACTTTAATAATACTTGATTACTTTTGAAAAAAACACTCTTTAAAAATAAAAAATAAAATGCATTCAGAACCATACCTCTGAGTGGATCCCACCCATCAGCTTCAACGGCCTCACACAGATACCAGGCACATAGCCAAAAAGAGCTATGTCACCCACTGGTTCTAAGTTTCCTCCTGTATAATCTAATTTGGTACTGTGTGTTTAGAAATTCTCTCTCCAGGGCTGTTAAATGCATTCAACCTGGAGTTCTTAGGGTATTTCTTCCCGAGCACTGCTAGTCACCTTTTTCATGTATGCCAGCTTCACACATGGTAGAGAATGCCATACACTTGTTTGGTTTAGGGAAGAGCAATACAGACAAGCAAAACCACCAATAATTTAAAGTCTCTTGGATGCTCTTTAGCCCAGCCTAGTACTACTCCCTCTCAGCATCTAGCATGAGGCCCAGCAGTTGCCTTGAACTCACAGCTCTGAGAAGCACTGGGTCCTGCTATAAAACAGGCAACTCACTGTCAGCTCCAGCTTGCAGAGCCCACTGCTGTGGCCCAAGATGAGAGAGACCCAGGTGTCCCTGCAGAAGTGGAAAGGAGGCATTGGTGGCCAGTGTGCTTTCCTGGGATCAGATCATAGAGAGATCACAGCTTTAGCATTCCCAGCAACCTCTCCTGTGCCCTCTCCCTGGAGAACACACCAGTCCCGAGTCCTCTGCATCCTCCCCCGGCAGCTGCCACCAACAGGCACTGCCCTTCCCTGTAGGTAAGCATCTTCCCTTTGCCCACAGGAGGTCACCATCTCACCCATTCATCTGGGCCAAGCTCTAACAATCATTCAGAATGGACATTTGCACTATTTGCTAGAGACCAATTTAAAGTCTGTCTTCCAGTAGGTTCTTGCTCCTGCCCTAACTGTGCTCACCTTCCTTACAGCTAATAAAAAACTGCGATCAAGAAAGGATAATAAAAAAACCCTTCACTCTAAAAGAAGAAGGTAGAGTTGTAGTTGCTCTTTCTTGGTGGCCCTGCAAATGATGGCATTTCACTGGCCCAGATGTGATAAAGA